CTGCTGGTACTTTCTCGCTTCAAACACAGCTTAAATTAGTCAGAAACAAAGCAACATTCTGCAGGCTTTGTTAATTGGAAAAGATACAGCCAGAATTGCTTGGGAAAAGATATATCACCATTCATCTTCAGATACAAGTATGAAAAATAAAAGGTCAGGCAAGGCAGGTCAGCGAAATTGGGGAAGCACTGGCAGGATTTTTTTTTCTTTTCCAATTTAGGTCGCTCAACCTTTTTGATTACCAAAAATGAGAGCTTTGACATTTCAGTCATAAGTAGTGTTGGAAAAACACAAATTACTCTGACTGCTGGATGCCTTCACGGTTATTCAACATTCTAATATTCTTCCACAAAGCATAGATTGTCAAAGAAAAGTGGTGCCAGGAAAATCTCTATCAATTCCACCAGCTCAGATTTTGTAGAAAAAAAATAGGCATCCACAACCCCACCACCATGCGGATCTGTTCCTTTATGACATTGACTGGGAGTAAAGAAAGAAAGAAAAAATTGAAAAGCATCTGTAACTTCCACAATGCTGCACATTGTAGTAAGCCCTGGTTCAATCCAAAGCTGGACCATTTACATGGTGGCTTAGGATAATGCAAAAACCTTGTCATTTATTCCATCACTCCTCTTCAATAATTTCTAATACTTCATTTCAAAAGTTCTTTGAAATGCCAAGGGAATTTCTTAAATAGGTCAGTTTCTATTGTGTATTCAAAGCAATTAATGCTTGTAACTAGATCCAACAACCAACTGCTTTGTGAACAGAATTCCGAACATAGTTTTGGGTAACACAACAGTTATCCTACCTGGATCAAGAAGAAATCCATGTTACACAGGGAACAAGGGCAGGTGCCTACTCCAACCCAGGAAAACTAGTAACCGAGTCTGATTAACTCTAGTAATAAATAAGCCATCACGAGATGTGATGAAGCTACAAGCTACAGTAGTTAAGCTACAACTACTAGATCAGTAGTTACGCGACAAGTGGTTAAGCTTCCTTAGGTTCCTGTATGGTGCAAAACCCTATTGGTTTAAAAACCAATAAGGTTTTGTATCAACATGCTGTAGCTTAGCCACTGATTTAAAGAAAAAAACCATTTCAGTGAAGTCTTTCTGGATTTTAATGGCTTGCCATGCACTTACTTGCCACCAGTTATCCAGATTTCAGGAGTGTTCTTTTTCCCCAGCTTTACGTAGACATCATGAAGATCAAACTAGGTCCTCTGGCATGAAAAGCCCCAACTTCATCTGTACTTTTTCCTATCCTTTTTAATGATTTTGGCAACAAAATGATTAATGTTATTTTCATACAGCATCTCTTGTAGAACAGTTCTTCTCTGGCCTAAATCTCTTATCACATAATACCAAATGCTTTTAACATTTTTCCTTGGCTAGCTACCCAGGAGTATCTAGAGATGCCTTTCTGATGCATTTGCTGCATTTTTTAAGACAAACTATCATCACGTGTTTTAGTAAACAGAAACCCTCTTTACATTTTTTATTTTCAGATTTACTTGACTTTACAGATTTACCTGATTTTTTTAACTTTCAGAATTTCTGTACAGATTTACTTTACATTTTACTTATTACATTTTTACTCTTTATTTTTACTTTCTGGGTGTAAAGAATTTGTAATCTATGAATATTTATTTATACCCATCCAACTGAGATTTATTCACTAAAGCCATACATAGCTTTAAGCAACAGGTGAAGCTCTTGCTGATGTTGCTTGACTCTAGAATAGCAAGATGCGTAGCTATTATAGTTTGTAAATCACTATTATGTCTAAGTTTATTATTTATTTATTATTTATTTATTATTAATGGCTGTGACGCTGAGCTTGTCGATCAGAAAGGTCGGCAGTTCGAATCCTTAGCTGCGCGTAATGGAGTGAGCTCCCATTATTTGTCCCAGCTTCTGCCACCCTATCAGTTTGAAAGCATATAAAAATGCAAGTAGAAAAATAGGGAGGTAACATGGTGGGAAAGTAACAGCATTCCATGCGCCTTCGGGGTTTAATCATGCCGGCCACAGGACCATGGAGACGTCTTCGGACAGCACTGGTCTTCAGCTTTGTAATGGAGATGAGCACCACCCCCGAGCTGGAAATGACTAGCACATATGTGCTAGGGGAACCTTTACCTTTATTATGTCCTTTTGACTTCACATGTGGGATTTCTAGCCAACTCTGTCTTATTCAACAGGTAATGGTTAAGCAAATCAGATCTAACAAATTTATGCATATTATCGTTCAAACTTTATGTCCAAATACAGTTCAAAGGTCTACCCGCACTCAATCATAGATATTATTAAAAGTTTCAGACCTTCTAGTAAGTCATAATTTGTTTGATCACAGATGACTCAATATCACAACTGGCTATACAGTACATTGTCATAAATCATGGATACAAATCACAATGGCTGGGTTCATACAACATGTTAGGTCACGATAATTATTACAACTCATAAGTCCAGATCTATGAGTCAAATTTCTCATACATTTTTGTAAAACATAATGAGCACCAACTAACTAATCATAACTTAACCTGGCACTTCACACAAACCATACCCATGCAGTTATTTAATGGCTCAATGTTTGATTATGTTAACTGAGTAAACTGTAGTTCAACAAATGTGTCACAGAAACCTTGCGGTCTCAAAGTTCAATAATTATATAGATTACACACATCCTGGAAGTTTGTAGGCTCTTGTCAAGGCCTTTGGATTTTTCATATATTTAAAGAGCATGTTGAAAACACCAATTTATTTTCAGATGGCGGATCCCCATAAAAGAGAAAGGTGTTTCCAAACCAAGACACATAAGCCATGCAGCAGCTATCAAAAAATAGTCTGATACAGACATGTATGAGCAATGAAAGACTTCAATAATAATACATCATACATCACTACATGTTTTATCACTGTTACATCATACTATATAATATGATGCTCTAGAACAGGAACAGATAGAGGATCTGAGACGTCAGGATGAAAGTAGGCATAAGAAATACCTTTATCTCTCAATCCACCTCCAAGAGTAGCCACCTATTTTATCATCTCAACATCTTACAAAGTAGGTTAGGACTGAAAAACTGGGGCCCAAAATCACCCAGAAAGTTTCATGATCAATTGTGGATTTGAACTCTTAATTCTAAGTTCATTACAGTGTACCACCCTGGCTCTTCTGCTTCATCAAATGCATGACATTAGACATTAGCTCATTATTGTTTCCATTTAAAGAACAATGTACTCTGTTGCATAGTTAATTGTTCCTCTTTTTTTGCCTAATTTTACAAGACAGCATCTAGCTGGATAAAACTGCAAAACCAAGAGTGTTGCAAATACAGACCAGAAGTAAATGAAATTTTTAAGGCACTTTTTTTTTTGTCTTGCTGGATATGCACTCAAGAGTTGATGCCTCCCTACTCCAACAGTATTTGTGCTTTGACAAACCAGTATGCTAAAGATTTTTAAGCTATTGTAACCCTGCTGAGGACAAAATCTCCAGCCCAAAGTTTTTGTGAATTGATACATCTCTCCTCTAAAATAAGTATACAGACTGACTTCAGAAGCCATTTAAAAAAAACCTTATCAATCTCAATTGAAAGCATAATATTGCTTGCACATTCTACACAAATAAATGCCAATGGATATAATATATAGTTTTCATATTGTATAACAAAGTTAAATTCACAAAAAAGGTATCAAGAATAATAGCAAATTAAGTTCTTCAGCATTTTAAGGAAATGCTGAGATTCCTTAGCATACATACTGGGATTTACAAAATACATAAAACCTTGTGCCAAATGCTATGAAGTTATGGCACTCAAAAGGGGAAGCAATCTGTGGACTAAACATCACGTCAATCATTTACCCAGCATCATCTATTGAAAATGTGGATCTAATGAGGGGAAAATATAGTCTCTTATATATACCATGTTATATAGGAAGACACAGTTAAGACCCTTAAATGTTTCTGAAGCAAAAGTGACTCAAGGGCAACTGAGGTGTGGATGCTGTCAATATGCAGTTCCTCTTGATCATTCAAGAAATAACAAGGAAAGCCCCAAACCTAGTGCATTTCCAGCGCACTACAACTATATTTCTATAAAATGCAATCCTTTTGTGTACTTTCACTTGAAATCAGTGCCACCAAGATCAGTCACGCTTGTTTGGGAGGAAAGCTGCATATAGGATAGGATCCCTCCCCCTGACCAGATTTAAAAACTTAATAGCCAACAAGGGGAGGGGTGCAGATTTTTCCACCCGGATTCAAAGAGGGAATTGATTCCCTCCCCCCCCCCCACTGCTCCAGGTTTTCCCGACCGCTTTTCCTCTACCACCCCTGCTTGCAAATGAGATGCAGATCTTTGCTGGGAACAAACCAGCAGGAGGAAGGCCGCCTGGAAGGCAATAATAACTTTAAGCGGAGCCCCGGATCTTCACCGGATCGTTCAAGACTTTTCAGAAGCCTCCAAGGGGCTTCACTGTCCGTTTTGAAGAAAGCCTACGCCGGAGAAAGCACTGCAGGCTCCCCCGGTTCCTTCGCACATACATCCCTTCGCACGGGGACAGCGACTCTCTCTGCGCGAAGCTCGCCCCTGGCTCCACTCCGCTTCAAACAATGGATCAGCTGCTGCTGCAGAGACAGGCGATTTCCTCTGTACCGTTCCGAGCCCCCTTCCCCCCCCCCCCCCCCAAACACCCCTTTGGACTGACCAAATAAAAGCCCATCTAAAGATCGCGACGGGATGGGGACCCCACCGCTCCCCCTCGCCGCTACCTGCCGAGCCTGCCTGGCGCATGCTGGCTAAAGAAGGCTGGGAGTTGGGGGGGAGGGAGGGAAAGGGAGAGGGAGGGGGGGAGAGAGAGAGAAGGGCCGACGGAAACCCCCCCATTTTCCGCCTCCATTGGACTGTCTGCGCCGCGCTGGACCGGGATGGGGAAAAGTAGGGGGGGGGAGGCAACAACAAGCCCACTCGGTCCGCCACTCACCAGCACGACGGCGAATCTCTCTTCCAGCTCGCCCGGGTCGGGCATCGGGAGCTTGAGGGGTAGATTGTGCGCCCTGAAGTCCGTCTGCTGAGAGTCCATGCTCCCCGCATTGCCCATGGCGACGGCCCTTCCTCGAGGAAGGGGAGCGGGGAGATCGGTCCACCTCTCTTGCCCCGGGTTTTCAAGCTCCAAACCGTTGCCAAGCTCCGCGCGCTGCAGCCGACTCGTTTCCACCCCCCCGGCTTGCTCCGGTACTCCTTCCCCGCCCAGTCAGCCTGCGCTCTTCCTCTCCTCTCTCCTCTCCACGCGCCGATTTTCCCCCAGCGCCCCACGCGCGCAATGCCCCCCCCCCTTCCCCAATTTTTTTTTTGTTAAGAATTAGAGCCGCGGGGAGACGAGGCGCGCAGATCTCTGTCTCCCTCTAGGACCGGCCTTGGAAATGCCCGCCCTCCGCCTCCCCAGCACAATCGGAGTCCCTTTCTCCCAGCGCTCGTGCGGGGAACCCGGGAGCTTAGCGGCAGCGGCAGCATGTTGCATGCTTTTGACTCCAAGGAACCCGGGCTGGAAACCGCATGGCTGGGGCGGAGCGGTCCTCCTTAACAAGCCCGCTGGTTGGCCTCTGGACGGTCGGCTGCAGCCAGAGCCGGCCTCGCCCGCCCCGCGCAGCTCCCCTACCAAGCGAAACCCGCAGAAGAGAACCAGCCGCCACACTCCACAGGCACCGCGCACCGTAGCACAAAGCCCCCTCTTCTTCAGACCACCTCCTCCAGAGCTTCTCCACGCCCCTGCCCCGGGGAGAGCTGGGAAGCGTAGTCCGAGTCTTTTCCAAGGGAATCGCGTCTGTCGGCATGCCAGCCTCTCTCTACCTTCGCCCTCCCCTTATAAATATAACGAAATGCTTTTGTTTTTTGGTTTGAAGGAGCAGGCTCTCCACTTCTGCCAGCTGCGAGCAGAAATATGATTTGCGTTGCGCTGAGGAAAACGAGCTTTGGGATCTAGACACGAACAGCAGAGCATTGTCTTCCACAAAAGATTGAGGTTGTCCTGACTTGAGATGCTGGCTGAAGACAGCAGAGCTTTATCCAAGGTCTGTGCATCCCCAAAAGCAAATTCCTGAATCCACCCAACAAACTACCAAGCCATCAGTCCTGGTTTACAAATAAACTACTTTTTGGTTTAGCATACTGGGTGAACCGGTCGTGGCATGTCACGAAAGGACAGTCGATTTATTCTTTATGTATCTGTTGGAATTCTGCCAGCAGTTTAGAAGATCATCAAACCACACTAAATCATCCATGGTACAAAATAATAAAAATAAATAATTGTAACCCTAATGCCTGAAAAAAGGTACTGTTTGTAAGATTTTTGCTACATAGTTGTCAAAAAGCCTTGACTGGCCTTTGAAATCAAGAACAGCAGGGATACACTTGACTGCTTACCTCACTTTTCACAATTATTTCTCTCCCATCCCCATCCCAGGAAATATTTTTCATGGTATAATATCTTTCTTTTCAACAGATATTTAAAAAAGAAAATTCAAAGAGGAATTTCTAGCCAATACATGAGAGACTTCTAAAAAAATAAGGATGCATTGGTTATTCTAGTTTCACAGAAATAAACCTGCTTTATCACCAAGTGGATATTTACCAGGAATCTACACTAGAAGATAGTGTATTTTATATAATGTTCTTAAAATGTACCCATATTCTTGCTTGAGTACAGCTTATTAAGTAATATGTGAAATGGCAGCTGTGAATAGGATTGAGTTGAATTTTCTTGCTGAAATAGCACAGTGGTTTTCATAAAAACATAGAAAACTGATGGCAGAAAAAGATCTAGTGATCCATCAAGTCTGCCTTCGAGATTTTTTGTTTATTTTTGTTTTCTTTTTAATTTATTTATTTTTGTTATTTATATTTTATTATTATTTCACTTAGAAATGTTTGTAGTCCCAATCAGTAAATACCTTTTCTCTTCTTGCCTTTGCTGATCTGGTTGTTTGGCCTTGTTTATTATCAAAGAGCAGAATTAGAGAAAGTTCTCCTTGGAAGGCCTGCTATTCTTTGGGGTAAAACGGAGCCATCATTTCATAACGTTCATTATAACTAGATTTAACGGCTGTTTCTTGGAGATTTTGTTCCTTCCTTGTATACACATTCCTTTTGAGCTTATGACATTGACACCATACAAAAAGGTGACACTTGCAATAAAACACTCTCCCCCTTCTTACCAATTCTGATCTCCACTGAGGATTGTTTATAAAATCTTCCACCAGATGAAAATCCTGACATATTTTGGTTGCGCCTTCCCAATCATTCCCCAATACATTGAGGATATATCACATTTTCTAATCAACACAGGTACTCTTTGAGTTATCACCATAATTGAGCCCTGCTATTATAGTCGGAAGTTGTGAGGGTTGCAGGTCACCACATGACCTGATCTGCTTTTACAACCTTTTTTGCTGAGATTGTTAAGTGAACCCTGCATTCTTTAAACCAACCCATTGTTTATTTTGGACTATTTTTTTGCTTGAAAACCAGAAATAAACACAGTTTTTTGCAAAAAAAAAATAAATTGTAAACTATGGTCACATGACCGCAGGGAGCTAAATGTAGATTGATTGCCAAGCAGCCAAAATGTGATCATATAAGCAGGGGAGCGATGTTAGAACTTCAAAACTAGGTTGCTTTTGGAGAAAGGGTGGGTTCTTTCAGAACTCTGAATGGTCAAGAAGCAACCAGTCGTAAGGAGGACTGTTTATACGGCTTTTGAAAGTGCTGGTGTGAAACTACAGGAGTTGGAACTACAGCAAAATTGAAAGATGTGATTTGGGAAAGACTCTCGTGGTTCATGCTTTGAGTTCAGATTCTGAAATGGTCATTTGTTGTTTTTCTAAGTAGTCCAAGCAAAGCCTTTGAACCGTTACAGGTAGTCCTCAACTTACAACAGTTCACTTTGTGGCTGATCAAAATTACAACAGCACTGAAAAAAAGTGACTTATGATTGCTTTTAACAGTTATGACCTTTGCAGCATCCCCATGATCATGTGATCAAAATCCAGATGCTTGGCAACCGGTTCATATTTATGACCGTTGTTGTGTCCCAGGGTCATGTGACCACCTTTTGTGACCTTCTGACAAGCAAAGTCAATGAGGAAGCCAGTTTCACTTAATAATTGGGTTATTGACTTAACAACTGCAGTGATTCACTTAACAACTGAGACAAGAAAGGTCGTAAAATGGGACAAAACTCACTGAACAAATGTCTCACTTAACAACAGAAATTTGGGACTGAATTGTGGTCATAAGTTGAGGACTATCTGTATTCATAACAGAGAACCACACACAGGCAAGAAAGATGGATGTTTCTTATAGTAAAGCATCACAATATTTTGCCTTGAATAGACTTTGGAATAAAGTGGAAAGCAAGAACCAATGTTTCCTTATTTAAGGAAAAAGCATTTTTAATTGATCTGATAAAGTATCCTTTTTCTTGCTAAGGACAAAACTGCAGAAGATGCCATAAAAACATTGCACCTCATTTATTACATTTATTAGTCAGACAAGATTAAAATATTTCTAATAGATCTGTTAATTAAATCGATATATCTGTTATTAGATTTTTTTTCACATTTTAATCAATTCAAGGCAGCAATGATACCTAATCCCCCTCCATTATTTTCTGCACAACACAACCCTGGGATTTAGGGTGGGCCCCAAATTGTCCAACATCTTAGCCCTACATCAAACTGGCTCTCTGATGCAGGCAAGAGAACTTCCTAATTCTTATTGAAAAGTAGATCCCAGATCTCTTTTGTATAATAAAGCTGTGCCCTTACAGTGAATGCAAAAAAGGGAACTTCCAATGTTTGGCTTTCTGTCTCAACTCACATATACAGATAGTCCTCGACTTACAACCACAACTGACTCCAAATTTCCATGGTTAAGTGAGTTTTGCTCCCTTTCTTGGCACGGTTAAGTGAATCACTGCAGTTGTTAGTAACGTTAAGTGAATAGCAATAGCACTTAGACTTATATACCACTTCACAGTGGTTTTACAGCCCTCTCTAAAGCGGTTTTACAGAGTCAGCATATTGATTCCAACAATTTGGCTTCCCCACTCACTTTGCTTGCCAGAAGATCGCAAAAGGAAATTACATGACCCCAGGACACTACAACTGTCATAAATATGAACCAGTTGCCACACGTCCGAATTTCGATCATGCAGATGTTGTAAGTGTGAAAAACGGTCATAACTTTTTTCAGTGCCATTGTAACTGCACTAAATGAGTGGTTTAAATTGAAGGCTACCTGTATGTATTTGTGCATGCATTTGTGATGCACATAAAAGGAGTGAGGTTTCATCTGAACAGTCCTGCTCGCTTGATGTTTGATTTCCCTTCCCTTCCCAAGCATTTTTATAATTTTGCGTTCGATTTTATCTCAAATTCTTGCTCTACGATGGAGCAGTCAATTTTATGTATCTTATATTGTTTATTAATTTAACATCATTCTATTAACTACATTGTAATGTGTTGCTGTTTTTCTGACATTTTTAGATTTCCCTTTAATGCCTCAAGTAACCATGAAATCTGCTCAGAAAATTTCACTTACTGAGCATATTAGAAACGTAACTCATAACGTTCAGATCAGTGCAAAAATCCCCAAAATGAAATAGTTAAACTATGTATCAAGGAGTAAGAATTAGTGGACGTTGCAAACATATGTCAGGGAATTGTGCAGCAGCTGTCCAGGTGAAGTCGGAGACACTAACACAAACTTGTCGTTTTTATTGTCATCATCCAGAAAGAGGAAACACAAGAATATCATGAGATAAATTAGGTAAGTCAGGAACACAAGAATATCATGAGGTAAATTAAAGAGTATACAGAACACACAGAAGAAAAAGGCGGGGGGGGGGAAAAGGAAACTCCCCCTTTGTATTTACAGCAACCAATCATAGTGCTGGTTGCCTCATGCATGAGTCAGCACTCTCTAACTAATCAACTACAACTGTGTGTTCTGGCCCATTGTACACTTTACTATTCCAGCTACTAAATTCAATAGCCTAACAACATATATATCTTTTTTTTACAGGGATATAATTATAAGCACACCACGAGCAAGTCAGTTCCTTTGAATTCAAGGGAGCTTACTTCTACTTGTTGGGACTGGGATAAAAGAGATCTGTAACTTTTTAAATTTATTATAGATAACAGCTACAGGCAAGCATCAGAAAAATCTCTTCAATACATATCATTAAATTTATCATCAAATAGCTGTC